GCAAGCCTGGCAGTGGAGGGTCCCACAGCCCCCCCCCTCAGGGCCATACACACCCATTACCTGAGCACAGGACCGCAGCAGATACCCAGCCCTGCCCATAGCGGACGGGCCGGCATCGGGTGGCCAGCCACTGGCGCAGGATGGGGAGGCTGCCGGGCCATTGGAAAGGGGGAGTCCCGTCGCTGTGCTCTCCCGTCCAGCAGCCCTCCAGGAGGGCTCGGTGTGCCTCGCTGTTCAGCTGGAGGGGTAGAGGAGGGCTGTCCTGAGGAAGCTGCCCGGCCTTTCTGCCCCCTCTCCCTCCCTCCCTCTCTCCCCCCTTCCTTCCTTCCCTGCCTGCCTCACAGCAGCCCTCGCCCAACAGGTAGGGAGCTGCGCTCTCCCAGCAAAAAGGAGCCCTGGTCCGCCCCCCTCCCCCCCGTGGACGTTACCAGGGCATTGAGGAGGCGGCAGACGTGGAGGGGGCTCCGCAGCTCCCAGGGACGCGGCGGCGGCGGCGTTGCATCCGGCGGCCAGAAGAGGCGGATGACCTCCAGCAGGGCCAGGCTGATGTCCACCATGTCTCCTGAAAGCTAAGAGAGGAGAACCGCCAGAGCGGCCGCCTGGAGCAGGGAGACGCAACCCTTCACGTGGCGGGAGGCCCTCCCCAAAAGCTGCCCCTGGGGCTTGTGCCCCAAAAGGAGAGGTCAGTTGGCTGCAGGAGCGAAGGCACAGCCAGGGGCAGGAGGCTCCACCTAACGCATGCGCGCTCCCTTTGTGTGTGTTGACCCAAACACACCCACGCAAGAGCTTGGCCACCAAATGCCAACCTCGTGGGACCGGTCCTGAGGCTCCCAGCTGAGCCCACTGGGACCAGAGGGGAGGCCGGAGCGCACCCCCGGGGTTGCCTGGAAAGGCCCCTTCCCCCACCTGGCCAAAGTCCCACGGCTGTTCCTGAGGGGCCTCCTCCAGCCCCCAGTAGATGGTGCCGTCCTGGTTCAAAACGTACTCCTGCCGCTGGGCTTCATTGGGCAGGAACACACTGTCTCCTGGGGGAGAAAAGGGGGCGTCGGTGTGACTGGTCGAGCCCTCCGGCTTTGTCCTCCTCCCTGCCTTCCCCCACTGGCTAAGCTTGGTGCCCCACACTCCCTTGAGGACAGCAAAGAAGCGCTTCTGCCCCGACCCCCACACCCCCTTGGCTGGCCACTGACCTCGGCACCAGGGGTTGAACAGCAGAGCGAAGCTGGCCAGTGGACACTGCGTCGCCTGGCCCAGGGCTGAGACATGCCGCAAGAGCAGGGCGTAGTGACCGACGGGGGCGTCAGGTGGGGCGGTCACCACCAGCGACCACGAGGAGGCATCTTGGGCGTCCACAGCCACTTCCCAGCCAGTCCAGTTGTCCAGCCTGGAGATGGGGATCTCCACCAGGCTCCCGTCTGCCTTGGATGGCCGCGGCCCTGGAGCCAGAGACAGGCGAGGTGAAGAGATCCCTGGAAGGTGGTCGAGCTGAAGCGGGGGGGGGGTGTTCTCTCTCAGGCCACTGAAGGGTCCAGCAAGGCAGGAGGGCTCCCCTCTGGCCCAAGAGGGCTTTTTCAGCCAGCAGGCAACCTCCCCCCCCAAGACCAGGGGCTTGAAGACACTTCTTCTGTCTGTTCTGTAGGAGTGGAAAGAACTGAAGGGGCAGCTACCCGGGGGAGGGGAGAGAAGGGACACCTTACCTGTCTGTGCAACCAGGGAGGTTCTGCGCAGCTGCCTCAGGCCCCCTCCCGGCACAGGGGAGCCGAAGTGAAGGGTGAGGGCAAAGGGCTGCCCCCGCCGCACCACCAGGCGCTCCGTGCTGATGGCGGCCGTGTGGTGAGCCTGGTTGTTCCCTGCCGCCTGGACATCACATCTCTTGACCTGCAGAGCTGCATGGTGGGAGACGGCTGAGCCCCCTGAGGGCCTTGGGGTGCAGAAGGGAGGGAGGGAGGGGTCTGCTGCCTTCCCTCCCCCCTTGCCGGCCTGGTCCAGGGAAGCCAGGCTAGTGCTGGCAAGGGAAGCTGAACCTGGGCAGCGCAGCTGGTTCCTTGCCTCACTCCTCCGTCCACCCGTCCACACACACCCTGCCCCACTGCTGCCAGAGCTAGCCCCCTCCACCCTTTGGCCCCAGGCATGGGGGAAGCTGGACTCTATGGCACTCTGTGCGAGGGGAGGGAGAGGGGCCCAAACCCCCAGCCCCCTTCCTGACAGCCAGTGCTAAGACCAGGGGTGGGGGCTTGGAGGACCCTCTGATGGGGGGCTGCTCTTCATGGCAGGCCTGCCTGTTAGGGTGAGGGTTGCCCTGCCTTCCCTAGTTGTGGTGGTTGCTCTGTGGGTCAATAGCCTGCTTCCCCTCCCCCGTCCCTCCAGGAACAAACTGGGCTATTCAGGAGGAGGCCCGGTGGACCCTCCTCCAAGGATCTCTTTCTGCCCAAGTGGTTGGCGCTGGTCCTGCAGAGTCCTGGCCAGAGGAGTGTGTGCGGAAAGCTGTCCGCCTGGTACCTTCTCTATCCCAAATTACTGGAATGGAGTTTGGGAGAAGATGCCAGGCAAGGCTTCTCCATCCCTTCTGGACCTCTGGCTTCTGCTTCCAGCCACATCTGTCATGGGACAGACCATTTCAGGGCCTGGGTCTCCATTTCCCTCGCCTTCCCACTTCCTCCTCTGTTGCGGGAAGGAGTAGGCCTCTGCCCTTCAGCCACCTGCTCTCCTGGTGCTCGGCTCCCTTAAGGAAGGTTTAGGCTGTTCTCCCTTCAAAGTCATTTGCGCCGTAGACCTTGGTTCCTTGTTTCTAAGGGCTTCTCTGGCCTTTCTGGAAGGACTGCAGGGTTGGCCTCTAGGCCGAGCTAAAGCTGACCATGGCTAAACACATGAACCACATGGGTGGGGGGGGTCATGGCCTCTGCATTCTCCTTCATTGCCCGCCCTGCCCTGCCCTGCCAGTCCAAAGATGGACCGACCAGCTGCCTTTATCTAGCCCAGCCCAGCCCAGCCGAGGGCGGACGAGTCCTTCTCCCCGGTTGCCAGGTGCTGGCCTGGCCCTCGTTGCATCACTGCCCCCACCGACTTCAATTTGCTTCCCTTCAACTTCAGCTGGGCTGGTCCTCCTTACACAACAGCCCCACCCCCAGTATCCTGGGTGAGGGGAGAGAGGAAAGCCGAACGGGGGCGCCCTACAAGGTCTGTGCGGGCAGGGCTGGACCAAGTCCCTCTCCCCAGGACTTCACTGAGTAGTGGTAGGAGTGCATTTTTAAAGGCGGGGGGGGGAGGGAAGGAGGGAGGCTTCAGTGAATTCCGCACCAAGCAAGGGGCCTGCCTCCCTTTGGGTCTTGGACAACTTGACTGGGGCGGTGGGGGGCGGCGGCGGAAATGCCCTTTGCTGCTTTGCCAGGAACTGGGAAGGCTGGTTTCAACAAGTACTGTAACTGGGCGAGTCATTGCATTTCCATGAACGTCTTGGCCTCCGGCTAATCCAGCCGCCTTTCTAACTCCTCTTCCGCGAAGCATCAGGATGGGGCGAGATCTGGAGGCGGGGTGGGTGGGTGGGGGGCTGGACAGTCCCTTCCGGTGCCCCTTCGCAACAGGAGAGGGCAACTGTAGCAACTGCACTTTTAGCTGCGCCTTAGCCTCAGGCAGCAAAATCTCTTGCTCCCCCTCCCCCAGCCCAGCTCCTCGCTTTGACTCCCCTCCTTCTACCGCAGAGGGTCCCATTCGACTCGTGTCCTCTAGATCCACACCAGCCCCCCGCCAGAAACCTATACAGCCGCCCTCCTTCTCTCCCGCCCCCCCCGTCACCGCCACCAATGCTCAGAGGGCGGCGGGGATGAGCTCCAGCGCGCGCGCGCGCGCGGAGAGTAGCCCTTGTTCCTCCAGACCCGCCGGCCTTGCACTCGGGGCCCTGATCCCCAGGACAGACCCGTCCTCTCCGTTCCCCCCCCCCGCCCCCCTTGCAGTTTCCGAGAGGGAGCGCCTCACCTTGGCCCATCTCGCCGTGTGGCCGCAGCTGCCCTGCGGCTTCCCGAGCGGGCGCTGGCGACTGGAGCCCCTCGCTCCCCTGGGGCAGCCTCCGCTCGGTGTTGGGTGGGGAGGGCTCTTGGGCCCCGGCCCCCCTCCCTTATCGGCCTGGCAGCTGGCCTCCAGCTGGAGGCGCTGGCAGGCGCGGCTTTTATCTCTGTGCCTGAGCCGGCCCGTTTCTCTCTGTGTGTGTGTGTGTGTGTG